ATACATGGCTTTGAAAGATATGGATTGTAACCCTTCCAAATATCCAATACATATTGAGGTCACAGCTGTAACTAGCCAAAACAGCCTATCGCGGTATCAATTGTTGGTCCATCCAAAGAGCATGGCTTTTCATTAACAGATATGACATCAAATATATGTGGAGCAATAGTGGAGCCATCAAGTGATAATTTTGAAGATGAGGTCACAGTTGTGGTGGTTGCAGATGCAAGGGAGGTAGAGGAAGGAAGAGTTTTTTGTAACAAGGAGAGTATGAAATTGAGCTTGTCGCTTTATACAATATAACATATGTTTGAATATATGGTCGTTCCGTCAGATAAGAAAGACTATCTTGTCAAATGTTCACGTGACGAGTATAGGTGGATATGCAGAGCTTCGAAGTTAGCCAAAACAGATATGTTTAAAATTAGGCATATTGTAGAAGGTCACACATGTGTTGCGAACATCATACTCAGTACTCATAGGCAACTAACAAAGACAGTTGTGTCAACATGTATTAAGTACAAGTGCGAATTATCGCGCACTATATACAGACCGAATGATATAAGCAACGACATGTTGCATAGCTATGGGGTATCATTGAACTATGTCCAGGCCTGGCGATCTCGGGAGCAAACTTTGAAAATGCTAAGGGGTGATCCAACTGATTCGTTCAATAAACTACCAGGATTTTTTGCATTGTTGCAGCAGACAAATCCTGGTACAGTCACAAGCCTAGAAATTGATGGTCACAATAGGTTTAAATATTGTTTCATGGCACTAGGTGCATCAATACGGGGATGGAAACATTGTAGGCCGGTTGTTGTATTTGATGGCACATATCTAAATGAACACTATGGTGGGACCTTATTCACTGCATGTACTCAAGATGTAAATAACAATATATTTGTACTTGCTTTCGGGATTGGGGATAACAAAAATGACAGCTCTTGATCATGGTTTTTTCGATAGCTGAAGAAAGCCTATGGGGACATAGAAGGATCGTGCTTTGTATCGGATCGTCATAACAGCATCAAAAATGTAATTAAGATTGTGTATCCAGGAACTTGTCATGGAATATGTTTGTACCATCTCCTACAAAATCTGAAA